GCCCCTCAGGTACCCTTTCAACACACACTTTTCTATTCAGTTTTTAATTGATTCACATATAAAAAGAATAAAATGTTTTAGCAAGTATGTATTTCACTAAACATTTGATTTGTAGTTTCTAGAAATTAGACCTGAAGTCAACTGTGGTGGCATATACCTGCAATCCCAGCACTTGGCAGGCTGAGGAAGGAGGATCACTGCCAGTTCAAGGTCAGCCAGAACTACACAGCAAGACCCTTTCTCACACACACACACACACACACACACACACACACACACACACGAAATAGACCTAATGACATCTTACCCTCTTCATTGCTACAACCTTGTTAAAGCTAGAAATTCACAACAGCCTGTAACAGGTGCTGGCTATGTGGCTCTTCCCTCATTGCCATCTAGTTAGGTACAGGGCAGCCTTCAGAGCAGCCATTAACAGGTCAGAACATGTTTCTCCTGCTCTCCTCAGTTCCTTGGGATGACAGCCACGTTTTACTCAGTCTCCTCCAGCACGATGGCCGTCCTGTTGCCCCAAACATATCAAGGATACCAATGCATTTGTTTGCTCTGCAGCTCTCTCCTACACTGCCACTGACTCCCTCCCCATGGTGCCAGTCCCACTATAGTGAGGTCCCATCTACTCTCTGATGGGCACCTGTCCCCCGCTCATCCAATCCTCTGCCCTGACCCATTTTTCTCATGTGTGTCTGCTTGCAAAAGTAAGCTCTACAAGGACATAAGGATGGGGCTGTTTGCTGATACATCCCAAAAGTCCTCAGAACATCACAACACCTTCTGGCAGAGAAAGTACTAAATTAATATGTGCTGAATGAATGCAGAAAAAGATAAAGTTCACTAATGTTTTATTTTTTATGTATTTGGTTGTGACAAGGTCTCACTATGCAGGTTGGACTTGCAGTGTCCAGCAAAGGGGGACTTCAGAGGCCTAAATTCCTGGGGCTGAGACCACACAGGAGAGCAGTGCTGTCCTCTGTCCTGTACACATAGAGGTAGTATAAGTGCTGCCCCCTCCGTGATCTGTTTTGCATGTTTTTCAGTGGTGCTAGAATGGTGCTGAGACTGAACGTAGGGTCTTACACATGCTGGGGATGCACTGCTCCAGGGGAGCCACCTGATTTTAAATGCTCAAATAACTAATGATGTTTATATTGTGGGTTTTTTTGTTTGTTTTTGTGGAACCGGGGATTGAACTCAGGCCCTTGTGCTTGCCAGGGAGCACTTATTCCACTGAGCCATCTCCCTGGCCCAACTAATGATGTTTTAATGAAAATCTTCCTCAATTCTATATTTCCCGAAAATAAAATTGTGCTTCAGGACTTCAGACTTTAATTATGCTGGCTATGAGCAGCAAGTGATAGTGGAAAGTACTGAGATGTTGCAATGAACAGATCTAAGTATAATATTAAATAAACATTAAATTTACAGTATTAAATATGTGACCCTGAATAATCACCTAACTTTGTTTCCAACTCTGAAAACTGGAATAATAATAGCCCCTCAACAGTAACAATATTTCCTTAGTTTCTTATTCTTGAAACCTCACTGGTTCAGGGAGAGACTGCCCTCCTCAAGCTGGCCAATGTTCATAGCCAGGACAGCATCGTTCCTGTAGAAATTACCTAATGTGGAGCTCTGCCACTGCTCTTGCACCTCGCTCATGTGCCCAAGTGGCCCTCCTGCTCTACTCTCATCACCCCAGGGCCAGGCACAAGAAAACAAGACAGATAACACCCTGGAGCCCACTGGGATTACCTCCACCCCCATGTCCAAAATCTCTTACCTCCCTCCCCACATAAATCAAAGTACAGGCTCTGCCTCTGCAGCTGCTGCTTCTGGAATTGCCAGCTCTCAGGCCCCACTGCAGGGAGCCCCTCACTTTGGTGACTATGCTATCTTCCAGTGAGGCGGCTGTCTCCAGATCGAAGGACTTCACTGTATTTGAGTAATAATAAAACCAGTATTTTAAACCACCTTCCAAGTGTTTTACAAAGAGCAAATGGAAAACTACTTTTACAACTATTCTTCCTTCACAATCAGACTTAAGGGCTGGGGATATAGCTCAGTGGCACAAGTGCCTGCCTGGCAAGCACAAGGTCCTGAGTTCAAGTCCCAGTTATCCCACCTCCCCCCCCCAAATAACACAAAAATCAGTCCGACTTAAATGTAAAAATGAAAACAATAAAAGTGCCAGATGGGGCAGGGAGAGGCTGGTGGTACATGTCTGCAATCCCAGAACTTGGGAGGCTGAGGCAAGAGGGTCACTGTAAGTTCGAGAATAGCCTGCACTACAAAGTGCAAGGACAGGCTGGACTGTACAGTGAGACCCTGTCTCAAAATAAATAAATACTCAATTTTTATCATAATGGTACATGTACAAATTAAATCAAATAACTCTAAAAAGCTACTAATGAAAAATAATTCAGTTCTCTGCATTCCTGGGAGTTATTTCTTTCCTCATTTTGCTATATTTTTCCTCTGAAATATGCATTTTCATAGTAAAAATGTTTAAGCTTTATTTTTTACTTTGAGTAGACTAGATGACTACACGCCAAATTCAAAAGCTAACTATAAAGAGTACGTGTCCTTTCCTAGTTGTCTGTACAAGAGGCAACCAGCAGCAGCTATATTTAACTGTACTCTGTAAAGAAGACAGTGTGTGTGATTTTCCTATAGTAGCACACTACATGTACACATCTGTGCCTTGTGATTTTCACAATCATCTCAAAAGACCACTTCAAGCCATTTGTCACAAGGAGCTTCCTTATTCTTTCTTAGGTGCACTGTATTCCTTTGTATAGATATATTTAGTCCTTACTGCTGAAAGATTTGATTGTTTTAGATCATTTGCCATTCATTAAAAGATGGTGAAAATCTACAGAGATGGCAAGCAGGTTGGAGTATCCTGAGCTGAGATGTCAATTTTATGGTAGAAGAGCAAACTGGCTCATCAAATCGAAGAAAACCAATCACTTCTTAAAGCTATGTGCCTGTTATAATGTATCTGGGGCCTGGCCTTAGCTCAGTTGTTTAAGTGGCTGCTTCCACAAAGCTGTCAGCCTCAGGTTGCTGTAGTTCGATCCCCACAACACTCCGGCCAGCCCAACCACCCCTGAGGGCATTCGGAGCAAAAAAAAAACAAACTGTTATAATGTATCTAAGAATAATCTGGACCACTAAGAAAGTTTACAGTATTTTGTGTAATGTGCATTCATTTACAAATAAACATGTATATGAATATGAAGGTAAATTATAGCTTTGTCTGTCCTCTGAACCATTAAAAGTCCAACTAGTAAAATTAAAACTATCAGAATGAACTAATTCTTCAGCAATAAAGTAACTTTGAAGTCATAAATACATGTTTTAAGATAAGACTTACCGTCCAAAATTTTATAAAGTATTCTAAAACTGTTGTTGCAACAAAAAGGCAATATAAGAGAGAATACAATAGAAACAGCATGAAGAATTTGTAATTAGAGAATCCAACACAGTTATTCACCCTAGAAGAATAAAGAAAGTCACATTATAAAAATAAGACAAGTCACAAATTTATAGAAACAGAAAGTTAAGTGGGGGTTATGAAGGTCTAGAAGATGCGAAGTTCTAAAGATTGTACAATGTAATATTCTACTAATTTACTAGGTGGGTAAGACAGTAACTCTTTTTTGGTACCAGAAATTGAACTCAGAACCTTGAGCATGCCAGGCAGGCGCTGTGCCACTGAGTTAACTCCACAGCCCCAAGACAATAGCTTTTATGTTTTTTATTATAAATAAAATTTTGGGGGGCTGGGATAAATAAATTAAATCCTTTTGACAGGAATTGATTTATGAATATTATCTTGAATACAAGCACAGGCAAGGTACCTCCCTGGCAAGCATGAGGTCCTCAGTATGATTTTTGGTATAAATAAATATCTTTTTGAGACAGGGTCTTGCTAAGCAATTCAGGCTCGCCTCTACGGAGCCTAGGCCAGCCTCAAATTCAATGATCCTCTGCCTCAGCCTTCTAAATGCTGGGATTATAGATGAGGGCCACCATGCCCGGCTCATTAAAAAAAAAAAAAAGGAGGTGTGTCAGCCAGGTGCAGTAGAACATGCCATAATCTCAGCTACCCTGAAAGCCATAGCAGGAAGGTCACAAGTTCAACACTAGCCTGGACCACTTAGTGAGGTCCTGTTCCAAAATAAAAAGGAGTGGAGATGTGGTTCAGCAATAGATCACTTGCATAGCATGCATGAGGCCCCAGGACTGCTAACTAACTGAATTAACCAACCATAAAGCTTAATCACTATTACTTGGAAATGGGTCATTTGGGAGATTAGACAACTATGATTCTTAATCATTATTTAGGCCACTAACATCAGTATATTAAAGGAAAACATTTAATATAAATGTCACACATATATATGTAATTATACTGTACAAGCACATTAACATTACTACCATGATTAAATTGTTAAAATATAAGACCAATGGAGTACATAATTCTCAATTCTTTCCTTTCCACCTCTCCACCCATGGATGCAATTTCCTCTATATTTTTAATACATACCAAGGACAGTGATGATCCATCTTAAGAACACATCTAAGAAACAAATAAGCATAAGATAATCTGTGCAGAAAGTTCTTCTGATTCCTTTAGTTTTATTTCACTTAAAATTTTCCCTTTACAAAAGTATCTCAAGAGAACCATCCCAGAAACATTAGAGGTAATTTCTGATATTTCTACAATTCTATATATTAGAAGCCATAATCTTTTTTACTGGGAATTCAGCTAAGCCTATTCAGTCACACCAGACAACAGCAAATAACATTTTAATATTTAGATGTGGTGGACAATATTGGTATTAGAGGAGCCGGGGAGATGGCTCAGTGAAATAAGCGTTTCCCTGGCAAGCGCAAGGGCCTGAGTTCAATCCCCGGTTCTGAAAAAAAAAAAAAAAAAAAAAAAAAATAATAATAAATTGGTATTAGATAGGTCTAGCTCACAAAGTAGCTGAAGGAAATAAAATGCAATAAGATGAACCCTGTTACTTTAAACATGCACACAACATGAAAATAAGAATCTAACAGCAAGTATGTCAGAACATTAACACTGATTGGCTTGGAGATGGTTACTTTTCCTAAATATCCAATTTTACCATATGGGCAATCATACTGTTTTCACAGGAAAATAAAATACAAAACAAAATGCATTATAACAAACGAGAAACCTTAACATCCGCTAAGTTAAGTATTTTGTCTAACTAAAAGTCCAGACTAGCTGAGATATAATCTACTTTAACATACTACTTTCTCACACTGAATAAGGACTGAATTCTTTCAAGTTTCTCTGGGGGAAATGTGAAGATGATAGTTGATAACAGTTGTAAAATTGCCTTTTGCTTTTAAAGGTCTAATATTAACAATACTAGGCTGGGGAGATAGCTCAGTGATCTAAGTGCCAGCTTGGCAAACATAACTGCTCGAGTTCGAAGCGTGTTACCACATGCAGTGTTGGCTCTGGAACCACCAAAACCAGGCTTGGTGGTGCATGCCTATAATCCTGTCACTGGGGAGGCTGAGATAGGAGAATCACTACAAGTCTGAGCTGCATAGTGAGACCCTGTACCAAACAAATAAAGAATTAAAAAAATTAAAATCCAAACCAAACCAAACCAAACCAAAAAACTCAACAATATTAAAAAGCAAGGAAACTATCATTATGGCTTTTTATCGTTTTCTTTTTTTTCTCCCTGATACTGGGGATTGAACTTAGGACCTTGCATTTGCCCAGCAAGCACTTGTGCCACTAAGCTATATTCTGCCCACCCCAGGAATTGAACTCAGGACCTTGTGCTTGCCAGGCAGGTACTGTGCTGCTGAGCTATATCCCCAGCTTCCCCATTATGGCCTTTTTAAAAAAAAAAAAAAAAAAAAAAAAAAATTTTTTTTTTTTTTTGTGTGTGTGTGTGTGTGTGTGTGTGTGTGTGTGTGGCCAGCTCAGCCCACCAGGGGGCAGGGCTGGCTGGCATGTGGTGCTGGGGGATTGAACCGCGGTCCCTGTGCTTTGCTTAGCTTGTTCTAGGTAGGTGCTTTAGACCACTGAGCCATCTCACCAGCCCCCATTATGGCCTTTTAAATCCATGAAATCATCATCTTTTTGACAGGGATTAATTTATGAATATTATATTGAACACAAGCACAGAAAGCATACTTAAGGCTAGGGAAATTCTATTAACTAGTAGAGAAATTGATAATGAAGAGTACTTCTGGGTATATTCCACCGTCCATAATTATTTTGTTAGCTCCGCATACTTAGCAAATACTGTAATGGCAGAGGATGAAACATGTGCTAATTTAAAAGCATATAAAATGTTCCTTCTCCTGCCAATTTTCAGTGCTTGGTATAAATGAAAGGAAAAGTAATACCACTTACGTGTCACATGCTGAGCAGTGATGGGTCCGATCGGGTTTAATCAACTGACATTTTTCACAATATCTGATAGCTACAGGGAACAAAGCAAAAGAATGTTGAAGGGTACATAAGCCTAATTTCTAGTTACTCTGGAAAATGGACAACTAATAATTTTTAAATAATACCAAAACACATCAGAGAACTTCTCAAATCAAAGTGTCATGACTGATAGGAGAGAACCTCAGTCATTATCTTCCCAGCTGTTTTCCAACAGAACGAAGAACATCCAAATGTAGTAAATGGCTTATACAAAGTCAAACACCCAGGTGAGCAGCCTAAATAGCCTAGAGCTCTGGTTTACGAAGTCCCACATGGAGTATTTTTTCAGCTATACAGCAAAGCCCAGGTTAACCCTAAAATGGCATTTAATAAGGCACGTTATGGGGCTTTACTTTTGAAACTCTGAAACAGCATTATGTTATGCTATTTTAATTTATTTTATGTATTTAATACAGGGTCTACAAGGGTCTTACTACTCAGATAGGACATGTAGTGATTCTCTTGTTTTCAGCTTCCCAAGTGTTGGGATTACAGGCCTGTGCCACAACACCCGGTCTAGGTCAGTATCTCAGTGCACGGGGGTGGGGGGGTGGGGGGGGGGGTGGTGGCAGGGTGGGCATGGCACGCACTCTAAGTGCTTTAGTCCGCTGATCTGGCTGACCCTTTGAAACAGTGTTATTAAACACACACACAAACAAAACGTCTTATCTGCCAACCTGACACTAAGCAGCACAACTGAAACTAGTTTTGAAAAAACCTGTTTCTCACTAAATATGGGCCACTAATGCCCAATTCATATAATCATTCATTTAAAAGACATAAAGAACCAACTAGATGCCAGATACTGTACTAGGTAAAAAAAACAAAACAAAAAAAACCCCTTACCTTCACGGAGTTTATATTCTACTGAAGGAAATGAGTAGTAAACAAGTTAACGAAATAAACAATATATTAGTGACAGAAGAGAAAGAGAATCAGGGCAATATAGTATGAGAAGCATCTGAGGAAAGTGAAATTGAAGGAACTAGTAAGACAGGCAGCTACCCAGAAGAAAAGAGGATTCTAATGAGGTGCTAGATGTGAGGCAGGAGCATGCGTGGCTTGTATGAAGAACAATGAAGAACAGAGATCTTTATTACAGGATTGCTTTTAATAAAACATTAGGAATAATTTGAAAGCATTCTACGGTATATCCATGTAGTGAAATACTACGTAGAAGCTAACAAAAATTTTCCATAAAAAACACACAGATATACCCCCTAAAGAGATGACAGCACAAGGGGCTGGCGAAATGGCTCAGGGTTCAGAAAAAAAAAAGGGGGGGGGGGCGATGACAGCATTCAAAATGAAGTTACTTATGCTAAGGTACCAGACAGAAACCTAACTTGTTTACTGCACAACATGAGCTTCTGAGAGATGAGAAAAGAGACCACAGCCAAATCCCATGAAAAAAACAAGATCTCGTCCACAGTCCTACACAAAAGCAACTTTGAAATGATCAATCTGTTGCTTCTTTTTTTTACCTTCTTCAGCTTTTTAAAAAAATCTTGCCTATGAAGTCTAGGCCCTGCATTCAGACTTTTGGATCCAAAATCTTTCCTACTTTGTAAGCCAGATGCCACCCAGTTTATGAAGTATCAATAAAAGCCATTAAGATCTTGAAAACTGAATTTGTTGAAATTTTGGGTTTGACAGACCTAACACACAAAAAAACAAATATATTAAATGGAAAAAAAAGCAAAGTATATAGTGGTTTGAATATACATTTGTTTCCATCTGCAAAGGGAATCATTTTCTTTTTACACGTACGACTACTGTATCACTATAAAATGCATATACCTTCCAGAGGTGATTTAACAAATACAAGAGACAAAATGTATTTTAAAGCAATGTTAGGGGGCCAGGGAGATGGCTCAGTGGAATAAGCGCTTTCCTGGAAAGTGCAAGGGCCTGAGTTCAATCCCCGTTTCTGCCAAAAAGAAAAAGAAAAGAAAATTTAGGGCTGGGTAGATAGCTCAATAGAATAAGCACTTGCCTGGCAAGTGCACGGGCCTGAGTTCAATCCTTGGTACCGCAATAAATAAATAAATAAATAAATACATGCAATGTTAGAAGGTACAGCTAAGAGACAGTTCTATCCAGATAATCGAATTTGCACCGTTAATGTCCACTCACTGTATTTGTTTACTGTGTACTCATTAGTTTTGCAATACCCTACTCTGTGTAAGACTTTCTTTTAGCTTCAGCTGTTGTTTACTGACACACAGGTGGGCTCTATAGCAATAGGCCTAGAGGTGGCGGATGGGGTGTGTGCCTGGAGTGCAGATGCAGAGAACAGGTGCACAGATCAAGTGGAGAGGCCAAAATGATTGGGGAGCTATTGAGGCCAGGGTCAGAGCCTGGCACACCAGATCCACTGTCTCATGTCCTCTGTCCACCAGTGCTGGCCACTATGGCTGGGCTCTCTGAGCATCTACTTTCTACAGGAACACTTGAGACAGGTTGATTTTGGCCCTACTTTGGAAGGGAGATGGTTTAGAAGAACGCAATTTGTTTTCTGAGTGAATAATATGTTCAAATGGTTCAAAAATGTGCAAAAAGGGCTGAATGTGGTACTGCACGCCTATAACCCAGCACTCAGGAAGCTAAGAAAAATCCCATACTGGAGTTCAACCTGGGCTGCAAAGTGAGACCAAATCATACCACATCACACCAAATCAAACTCATCAACAACAACAGAAACAAAATGGGAGTTGCTACAAAGTATTACCTCTATCCTCTAGCCCTCAGCTCCAGCTCTTTAATGCTCTTTGGTATTTAAAAGACCCACTTTCTATCTATCAATGTAATACACTATGTCAATAGAGCAAAAA